TATATATATATATATATATATATAAATTGTCATTTTCTTTTTAATTAGTCATGGCAGGAAGTTGTACCTGTGCTGGTAGTTGGGGATCCCAGGCCACTTCCTCCTCCCACACTGTCTGTGTCGCTCACTGTGGAGCCCCAGGATTTGTGGGTCATGTAACCTCGAGCTGACACAAAAGAAATAAAAAAAAATTCTAAAACCAAACAAGCACCGAGCATCTATACATAATCTTCATACACATTTGACAATTTTAATAAACAAATAATTTGCAAGTACTTCTTTTTTTATTACATTATATTTAAATAAATATTTAAGATCTACATTTGCATGAAATGCAAATTCCATTATATTTAAATGAAATTAAAATACAAATTGTGTTTTTAATTCCAATAATCATATGTATTAATATAATTTATTTTTAATATAATAGAATATATTATATAACACTTCAATTAATTGATAAATTAGACAAATGAATATACAATATACAACAGTTCAAACAAAATATTAATAAATTAGTTATTTGGACCCTAAAAATGAATACAATCATAATCGTTATATGTATTAATAATATAATTGAATTTTAGTTCAGAGTCTAATATATAAAAATAAAATTTTATTTACTTTAATTTATTTAAATTTAAATGATTAATTATTTACTTTTATTAATATAGTACTTGGGAAACATTTAGATTTACTAGAAAATATACATTTTACTAGTAATATAATTTAACTAATATAATAAAAAATATATAAAAATGGTTATAGATAGATAGATAGAGAATTTTTATAACATTTTATTATATTAAAGTGTAATTATATTATATTATTAAATTAGTTACAATTAATGATGTAACTGAATTTTAAATAAATTTTACATGTATAAACATTAAATGTCTTAAATTAGTTTTATTAACTTAATAATAAAAAAGCTTTTTTTTTGTGAGATGTGCATAATTTAATTCTAGGATAATAAAATGCAATATATAAAAAGTTATAAAATTATAATTATTTTTATAGCATTCTATTAACATTATTCAACTAAATTGATATTTAATTCGTTAATTTACAAAATGTATAAACATTACATTTCTTAATAAAAGTTACATTACACTTATTTTTTGTAAATAATATTCTTTGTTAGATGTGCATTTTTGTGGGTTCACACAAACCTACTTGCTTACATGTTTTTATATTGCATTTGATAATAAGTAGAACAAACAAATCATTGCACATACCTCTCTTCTGTTCATCTTTGGTATCTCCGGTTTCTCCAGCGGTGGGCGGTGCTTCAGCACTGCTGTGAGCATCAGTGTTAGCGCTGTCAGCACGAGCTCTGACTGACGGGCTGAATTCAAGACAAGACAACACCTCACTGTAATATTCACATTCACTTCCATGCTATTCCATGTTTGAAAGCAAGAGGAGTGTTGGTTACTGGCTGGAGGAGGCAGAGTAGGCCTCAAACTCGTAATGCGTCTCGGGCTCTTCGCTCATCTGAAGGTCTTTGACGTGCGTGGCGTACTGCTGTCCCGGGTCGTACAGTTTACTGCTCTCACACAGCGTCTGATAGTGCACCGGCAGCACTACCGTCTGCATGTGCATGATCTGGTAGTAGGAAATGGTGGCCTGGAAAGAGTTTCACACAGTTAAAACCGCTCAAGCTGGATTTGGATTTGAAGTTTTCTTGGTGTTTTTTCAGAATTTATTTGTTCCTGTTAATCCGAGTAATGCATGACTGGGCCATTGATCAAGTATACACCCAATACTACTGAAAAACACAACCTTAAAAAGTCTCATTCATAACATATTTAGCTTTACAAATGTCTTGATCAGAGTTTAAAATGAACTTTATGCCTTGAGAAAATTGACTAGCCATAAATATTACCAGCCATTAAACTTTTTTTTTTTTTTTATATGTTCTTGATATATTTTCTATATTGAAGAGATATTTAACACTATTTTAAAATATACAATTTGCTGTTTTATATATATAGTATTTTATAATATGCACTTTCATTGATTTTTGGGTCACAGTCTTGTGTGAAATACCTTCAGAAAAAATTGTGATGTTACTCCTCAATTTTATTTGTGAAATTGTTATTTTTAATGGAGACGTAAAGACTAATAAGAAATGAATCAAATCTGTTTATATTGATCTAGTGAGTGTGAAGTGTTTACCGAGCGGATGGTCTGGTCACTCTGTTTGATGACCTCCTGGATCTGCCGCAGGACGGTGACCTTCATGTGCTCCAGCTCCTGGTGTTGTGTGGTGGCATCTGCGATACATGTCCGGTACGTGGCCTCGGCCTCCTCAGCCTGAGACCAACACAAAAACACAACCTGCTAAACCACTGAACATCTGTTCCTGCAAAACTCTTCCTACGGTGGCATAAGAGAGATGCATTGTGGGAGTGCTGAGTCTGACCTTGTTGCGGGCCTCTTCCTCCAGCCGTTTCTTCTTGTCTACTGTTTTGGTGGTAGAACTGCCGCCCTCCTCCTCGGCCCTGTTAGCCGCCATCCTGGCCTTGTCGTACTCCTCGCAGCGGGTCATGTAAACCTGCTTGGCCCTGCGCAGGTTGGCCTCACACTCCATCTGTGTTCAAACACACAACAACCCTTACAGACCTGCGCTGCTAACGTCTCGTATGGTTTAGTGTATCTAGACACATCCCGGCTGGAGTTTTAAAGTGTTCTGGTAGCTCATAAGATGGAGAAATGTAAACGTTACCAGTTTTCTCTTGGCCTTCAGCCACTGTTCCTTGATCTCCTTGCGCTTCTTCTCATGCTCTTGTTTGCGGAGCAGCAGAGGCTGTGGATGAACACAAAGCACATGATTCTCCACAGCAAAATACTTCATGCTCCAGATTTCAAGATATTAAAACTATGAATGAACAATTAGAACAAAATGTAATATAATAATACTACTACTACATACATGCAGTACAATAGTACATTTAACAGTAACTACTATTACTACTAATAAACATGTTGACCTGGGCCCGTATTCACAAAACATCTTAAGGCTAAAAGTAGCTCATAACTCGCTGATTTAGGAGAAAATCTTAAAAATAATGGGCATGTCAGTCCTAAATTTAGGACTCCTAAATTTCCACTCTAAGAGTATTTCACAAAGAGTTTTAGCGCTAAAACTAGCTCCTAAAACTGTGAAAGGTTAGGAGTAGTGAAGAGGACTCCTAAATCACTAAGACCGAACCACAAACTATTCCTAAAATGGCTGTTGCCGGCAATCTGCCTCAGAATGTAAAAATTTTAGAAACATTTGATAATGACCTTTTAAAAAGGTATCGCCTTTGGTTTTGAAGGTTATCCCAACTCTAAATTGTCCTTTATATCCTTTTTGTTTAAATGATATCCTTGTTTTCATTAACCAGTTGGGCAAGAAGTAACAGCTGCTTTTATTTATTTTAGTTTGCATGCATTACTATCAGCCATGATTATTCTACTCCGTTAATTAAAAGCTGTTTATATGCATATCCGCTAATTATGAGAAGCATACAAGAGGCTGACAATAAGCTGAACATATACTTGTTTAGTGACACTTAGCCTGCATTTTAAAATCTTTATTTGAATGTGGCAACATTTTTAATCTTTATATATAGCAACATTGTGCTCTACAATATTTCCATGAATAAATCTCTGACAGAGACTATCAGCCAATCACTGTGTGCATAGTTAAGCATGCTGACATCATTCATAGCAACGAGGTCAACCCCGCCCTTTGACTTCTCTCTATTCCTTAGTAAAAGTTTGTCTCAGCAGCTTTGTGAATAGGTTTTAAGAGAAAACTCTTAGCTAAAAACTTTTACTGCCATTTAGGAGAACTCTTAGTGGTAAGATAAAATGTTTTGTGAATACGGGCCCAGATTAGCACACTAATCTAATTTATTGCTAACTAGCATAAGCCAACAAATTTCTGAGGTTTTTTTCCCAAAAAATCTGGTCATTTCTGCCTGGCTTGGTCCAAAGATCATATGAGCCAATTATGGGATGAGTAGCAGCAAAAAAAAAAAAAAAAAAAAAAAAGTTTAATTTGCTTCAATATGATGGAGAGTCATTGTTGTAAAATAATAAACAAGACAAAGTCAGAATCTGCATAATCCAATGAAAGTAATGTCACAAAGAATACAAACAAACTTGTTTTCAAAAGTTATAAATATTTGCAAAAACCCTTATATCTCTGGAATACTAGGTGGCACTGTGTTCAATCTTCTCAGGTACCTTCAGGACATGTTGATGGTGATACCTATAGAATTTTGTGCCAATGTCAAATCGTTCAAAAGATATTGCAATTTATAACAAAATTCAAAATGGCGGCCAATCAGTATTCCTGGATTCGCCATGACACAAGCAATCCATAGACACCAAGATTATGATTTTCTGACAAATTGTTCAAAAGTTATAAGCAAACATGTCTATTTCATATCTCAAGACCTGTAGTCGGTGCTGTTTCCAACTTTAGCACGTAGCCTCAGAACATAGTGTTGATGAAGCAAACAGTTTCGTTTCGATTGATCAAAGTTTGGCCAAAATACAGCCTCTGAACCAATTTTGGGTCAATATCGTTAAAGGGATAGTTCACCCAAAAATGAAAATTCTGTCATTAATTACTCACCCTCATGTCGTTCCAAACCCTTAAGACCTTCGTTCATTTTCAGAGCACAAATTAAGATATTTTTGATTAAATCCGAGAGTTCTCTGAACCTCCCATAGACAGCAAGGATCCTAACGCGATCAAAGTCCAGAAAGGTAGTAAAGGATATCATTAAAATAATCCATGTGACATCAGGGGTTCAACCGTAATTTTAGGAAACTACGAGAATACTTAGTGCGCAAAGAAAACCAAAATAACGACTTTATTCAACAATTCGTCTCCTCCGTGTCACCCTGTAGCGCTATTTTGGAGAATATCCACTGAAAGTAAACAGCGAAGGTCTTACAGGTTTGTAACGACATGAGGGCGAGTAATTAATGACAGAATTTTCATTTTGGGGTGAACTATCCCTTTAAGTTCACGACATCATAACTTTTGAACAAAGATGAATATCAAATTTCTGTTCCGTCATTTCTGTGCGGCTTGTCCAAAGATTTGGTATTTATACCAAATATTTACCAAATTTGGTAAAAATGGAATACTGTCCTTTTCAAAATGGTAGCTACTGTAATGGGCAGAGTCTTAATGTAACCTATTGAACAGAATCAGCCAGAAGAGTGTAATCAGGTGTACCAAGTTTCATTTTTCTACAACAAAGGGTTCAAAAGTTATAACTATTTGAAAAGTGAATTTTTGAACTGCTGGTAGTGCTATAGAGTTGGTCAGTTCACTATTCATGACCATCACTACAAGTGTGCCAATTTTCATCATATTCCTTCTTATGGTTCATAGGGTTGCCATAATAATAAAAGGACAAAAGGTGGACATGTTGATGCTGTACCATGATGAAGGTCTGGTTCTGTAGGGTGGAGGCCGCCTGATGCATCCCAGAGCTCTGCTCCAGGTCCTGCTCCAGAGCCAGAGAGTAGATGGAGAAGAAGGGCATGTGTGGCTGATGGACACAAAAACAGACGCATGAGGAAGAAAACAAACCAATCCTGAAGACTTCAAAGAATCTGAGCGAGGTTAGTTCTCACCTGTGTGATGGTCTGTTTACAAGTCTGATAGATCCTTTGTAAGCCCTTGGAGAACTCCAGCTCTGTACAAACAATTAAGATGTCAAATATTAAGTAAATAAAAAAAAATAAAAAAATCAACAAGCAAAATACAAGTAGCAACAGGACGTGGCTCAACCAGTCAGGATTTACAATCAGAACTAAGTTTTATACAGAACTACACTTTATTTCAGTCTCTTACATAATACTTAAAAACTAATTTGACATCAAACCATCATATAACTGAAGCCACAAGTGATCCTACCTAATGCAAGCTTCCTCTCAATGTAGCCGATCATATCCTTGATGTATTTGGAGATGGTTTTAGCGTACGTCAGAGCCGAGTCCACTCCTCCTTCACTGCGCTGCAGGATAATGTCCACCTCTTCAGCGCTCATCGCTGCCAGCACGCATAGGAATATAATTATGTGAGCATAGTGTTTCACTTTAGGAAAAAAATACTAGTGATAAAAAAAATAATGATTTATTTGTTTGTTTAGCGGGAGACAAGTTGTTAATAACAATAAAAACAAGTAATCAAAATTAATAATCAAAAATATTAATATTTATTTTTGTATGCATGTATAAGAGATCTTAATGTCCTGGAGAACATATGTAAAATTATAAATAATAATTTGAATATTATTCATAATACTACCACTAATAAATATATTTAAAAATAAATAATTTTACATGTGTTTAAATACGTTCTGCATTACACTAAGTTTGCATATTTATTTAAACAAATTATAATAATAAAATTGTTAATAAATATTTTATGTATTTTTTAATATTATTCATATTTTAAATATATGTTCTGCAGGAGATTTTGTAAAGATCTCGTACATAAAATATTCATTCATTCATGCATGCATTTATTTATTTGAGATCTTCACAAAATCTCCTGCAGAACATATTTAAAATTATAATACATTATTATTATTAACAACAACACTACTACTAATAATACATATTATTGTTAATAATAAAAATGTATGCATTTTTATTCATAATTTAAAAAATGTTCTGCAGGAGATTTTATACAAAGTAATATATAAATAAATACTATTAGTTCTCTTAATTTCTTAAATGTTCTGCAGATCACCGTTCTTTTATAAATATTAATTTTAAATATGTTCTGCACAAGGCTTTTTATTAGAACAACATAGTATCAATTATAATCAGCGCAATAAATTAATACATAAAAATAATTTTATTTTTTAACATTTTTATATATACAAATGATATTGAAGACATAAAATGATATCTTCATCACAAAAAACAAAACCCCAACTATAGATCATCGCATTCCTACTTGCTTTTCTGTATTTCTGAATTTGTCAAAACAATGTACCCAGCTCAGATGAATCACTCCATGTGTGTGAAGACTCATGACCCGAGAGGTTCTCCATAGACTGAACATTCAAAGAGAACAAACACACACAAATATTTATCACACACATTGTGTCACATATACATCATACACATCAGTCATGCGTGTTCATGTGAGTCTTATTTCAGAGGAGGACGACTGCGTCAGAGCAGTGACTCTAATCACAGAACGCCACTTTCAGGAAATCAAACCCTGCTGCCAACATCCGCTCTGTACAGAGACTGACACACACTCACCCTGCTCTTCTCAGACGGCAACACTGACAACAGCGTGCTGCTGTCCACCTCTCCCATCAGCAGCTCAGACACACTGACAAAACACACAAACAATAACATCTGAAAAACTCAACTGCAGCAAATGATTAGATGCCACCTCTCAACTTCCTCAAACACAGTCACATTGCACTGCTGCATGATTTAAAGTTTTGGTCACAGGAAATTAATGCAAGACATGAACAAGATCGTTTGAGTGCCATTTTGATTTTGCGCTGCCATTCAAAAAAATGTATTGATACGATTATAAAAAGGTTGAAGTGACAACAACAGCAATGATAATTATCAGCTCGAACTCAAAAACAGATCCTTGAGGGTTTGGTGCTGTTCGCATAAGAGCAGAAGCCGCAGATCAACTTCCTGTTATTTCGGTCGAGCTACGATTAATGTCAATGATCTAACAGAGCATTTTGAGAGAGATGATTTCATAATGTACACAAAGTATGCTGTATGGCACTGCAGTCTTGTGAACGCTTAATTTAGACTGGTAAAAATAAAATTAATCGATAAACAATAAAAACATTTCAAAAGGAACAAAGTGCTTTTCCCCTCTTGAATTAATTTAATAATATAATAAGCACAATCAATAAATAGTTCCATTCATTCAAGGGGAATTTTTTTGCTTTATTTTAATGTATATAAATAAATACATTGCAAAAGAATGTGCTATCTCCCAGAATTAATCTAAAAAGTAAACAAACAGACAAACCTTTCCGTTCATTCAAGGGGAAATTTTTCCTTTGGAAATTACTTATTTAAAAAAAAAATATTTATTGATTGATTTAAATGTATATAGATAAATACATTCCAAAATAATGTGCTATTTCCCGGAAGGAATCAAAAAGAAATAGATATAATCATAAAAAAAAAAAAATAGTATGCAAGAATGTTGTCGCATGACCTCACTATCCATCCATCCAGAGTTCATTTGCAAAAACGAGAACTCCATTTAAAAAAAATCATGTTTTATCATTGTGCATTCCAATTAATATCAATCAAACTGCAGTTGGGTTATTTTGATTAGCTTAAAAAATAACTAAAAATGCAGCCAACTAACAATAAAAACATGATCTGTTTTTGCAAATAAACTCTTCATATGTGTGTGTGTGTGTGTGTGTGTGTAATTAATCTAAAAAGTAAACAAACAGACAAACCTTTCCGTTCATTCAAGGGGAAATTTTTCCTTTGGAAATTACTTATTTAAAAAAAAAATATTTATTGATTGATTTAAATGTATATAGATAAATACATTCCAAAATAATGTGCTATTTCCCGGAAGGAATCAAAAAGAAATAGATATAATCATAAAAAAAAAAAAATAGTATGCAAGAATGTTGTCGCATGACCTCACTATCCATCCATCCAGAGTTCATTTGCAAAAACGAGAACTCCATTTTAAAAAAATCATGTTTTATCATTGTGCATTCCAATTAATATCAATCAATCTGCAGTTGGGTTATTTTGATTAGCTTAAAAAATAACTAAAAATGCAGCCAACTAACAATAAAAACATGATCTGTTTTTGCAAATAAACTCTTCATATGTGTGTGTGTGTGTGTGTGTCTAATATATATATATATGGGTTGTTGACGTGACATGGCATTTTCACTGTCCCACAAGATAAAAATGAATATAATTAATATTGTCGTTATTTAAAATACAGTAAATGGTTAAACATTTTTGTCCTACATGGACCTGTTATAAAAGCTGCAGTGCTAGATTTAAATTTTTGAGTCAAATCTCAAACTTGTCCTATTATGTGACTGTCTCAAGCATGGTTCAATAAATTACAACTTTTATAAATGAAAAAGAAAAACATAAAAATGTTAATAAATACCTCCGGCATAATTGTACAAGTGTCTATTTTAGTAAATGGCAATCATTTTCTTCATCCATACATTTCTGAAAACGAAGGAACTGGATACATTTTGTCTGTGAAAACCATGTCCTCTGGTGTGACACCATATCCTGATTTTAAATCGGCCAATTCCAGAGAAAACTAATTAGTTGAAGGACCCATTCATGATCATGTTACTGAAGGCCCCTGTGAAGCCCATGACATATGCACATGGTAAATTTTTTTCTTCAACTTTTTTGGAACCACTACAAAAGTGTTACGTTTTTTTAATTAAAAACTGCATGTTAAACTACATAATCATGGAAAATGATGCAGATGTGTCTTGCAAACCGCTAATGACAGGTTAGCTCGGAATAGCAAGGTCATTAATTGACAGAAAAAGGCTAAAACGTCTAATTATAAATTTCATTTTAAATAAATAGCACTATGTGAAAATAAGCATCTAACAATGAAGATAAATCTCTCTCATGCCATTTATATATTAAGAGTTTTTTTTTTTCTAAATGTTTGCCATGTCACACCGTAGGACAAATTTATGGTAGTTCAGTGAAAATGTAAAAAAAAGTGAAAGAATTGAAGTTAGTGACCCGTTATATTTTCTCAAAAATCAGACGTCACACTACATATATGCATTTCCAAAAAAAGGTTATAATATAACAATTTTAGTAAATCACCATTGGTAGGTTGATGGTGTATAAATAAATATTTTAAAGAATAAATGCTAAAAAAAATTGGGTGAAATTACTTTCATTTTCATTACGTTCCATTTACGTTCATTTATCACATCTGAAATAGAAAATCAAGTAGAGCACACTGCATTGTGGGATACAGTATTCAATAAATACAATATTGCTCTCTGGTTGCATACATTTTGGTAAATGTACTATTCAATCCAAGTAATCTATTCATACAGCAAAGTGGTGCACCGTATGCATACTGCAAAATAAGCCTGTTTGCAAACTTTCTCATGATTTTCTTTATTTTTTTACTCTGATATGCAATTGCAAGAAGCAAAACTCACAATTATGAGATCTACAGTCACAACTACTTTTCCCCCAGAGCCGATGATCGCGTGATCCGCTGACGAGCGCTTAATACTCACTTGCTGCTAAAGGCTACAGCTATGGTCTCGATGGCCTTCTCAAAATCTTTCTTGTCTGCTTCATTGCACACTTCATAGTGGTATCCTAAAGTCAAAGAAAAAAAAATTGTTAGTAAATTGCTTAAAATGACAAACACATTAGTGCTGTAGAATGACTGTAAATGGCTGCTCTAACCTTTGACCTGCGAGATGAGTTTGCCGGCAGCGGTGAGCGTCTCCACCGTGTTGAGGAGAGGGTACATGCTGATGACCTGCCGCAGGATGCGCAGAACTTCCCCCAAACACTCATGGGCCAATGGACGCCGGTTCTCCTGTTTGTCTGCCAAAAACCATAAACAACATTATCATCAGACTCTTAACAGCTGAAAATAAACATCTAGATTACAGCCACACAAGCTCAAATTAAGACTTCTGATTAAGTATAGTATATATTTATTTAATGCCAAGTCAGCATCAAAGGCTATTTTCATGGCAAAAACTATTTAGAAAATACAAGTATAACAAATACAATAAAAACCAGCAAACAAACAAAGACAAGTTATAGTCACACAAGATTTTTTACATTAACATGATAAAAAGTAAAACTTTTCCTGCCAAAATTTGACTAAATAACTCTTTTAAAGGAGACATACTATGCCCCTTTTTACAACATGTAATAGAAGTCTCTGGTGTCCCCATAATGTGTCTGTGAAGTTTCAGCTCAAAATACTCCACAGATCATTATATAGGAATTTTGAAAATGCCTATTTTGAGTGGCAGCAGAAACACGCTGTTTTTCAGGCCCGTCTCTTTAAATGCAAATGAGCTGCTGCTCCCCGCCCCCTTTTCCAGAATAGAGCTGCGCCATTACAGCTCGGACCTGCTAAAAACATCTGTTTTGGTTCTGATTATCATGTTTATCGCGCTGAAATAATGCGTTTTAAACCATATGGGTTAAAACTTCTGATATACGGTTTTCTGAGCGCACACGTTCAGAAAGCGGCTGTCACAGCATGTGAGAACTAAATTGAAGTCCTAAAGTTCTCATTCACACACAAGTTTACGTTAAAAACACATGAGTTACAAAAACAGTCAGTTATGTCTGTGAAGGTAAACAGCTGGGAAATAAATCGCATGTTTATTTTAGATCTGTGTGGCATCTGTGTTAAAATTATAATGAGATCCTTTTGCCACGTCACCAAGGGAGCAATATCTGACACGCTCATTTTCTCAGACGCTTGCAGAAAAAGGCTTACTAAATAACAGTTAGCATGTTTTGCTCAAACCTTTGCCATGGCATTATAACTGTACGCCGTTGTCACTTGCGAAATTAAATGATGGCGCTGCGGGTGGAAACTTACAGATGAAGGGGAGGTAAAATTATAATGAGATCCTTTTGCCACGTCACCAAGGGAGCAATATCTGACACGCTCATTTTCTCAGACGCTTGCAGAAAAAGGCTTACTAAAACAAAGTTACTGGATTAATCTTTTTCACGTTTCCTTGGTTGGTAGATGCACTGGGGATCTGATTATAGCACTTAAAACCTGGAAAAGTCAGATTTTCATGATACGTCACCTTTAAGTGAGTTCACTTCATAAAAAGAGTTTTCTCTGTACATTAAAAGCGGATTAAACTGGGATTTTTGTGTCAAATTATAACTCTCTTCACACCGTGTTATCAAATAAGCAAAACTATAATTTAATATCTAGGTCATATTTCATCAAGAAAAAAGAAACAAAGAAAGATTAATTAAAATAAATGAAATAAATTAAGAAAAGTTAATAAACATCTTAAAATAAATAAATGATCAAATAAATGCCACAACGTAAAAACTAAAATAAAACAAAATAAATACAAATGAGAAACAAAATCTGGGTCATATTTCAACCCATAAGAAAATAAATGTCAAAACTAAATAAATAAATAAAATAAATACCTTGGTCATATTTCACCCTACATGATGCAAAAAATTATAAATAAATAAATAAAGAGTTAATTATGTTCATTTGTTCAGTCTTGTTCAATAAATAAACAATTATACAAAAAAAAAAAAAAAGATTTTTTTTAATAATAATAATAATAATTAAAAAAGTTTTCACTTTATCATCTCAACATTTTTCTTCTAGTTATAGGGCACAATATGACCTGGATATTTCTTTGTGAACCCAGTAACCCTTTAACCGACAAGTCAGTGTCTGTCATGCTGAGAAATATCTGCAGTGATCCTAAAAGAGTCGAGACACTGTGTTGCAGTGCTTTCTCGTCTGCTGTGACATGTCTACAAGCCACTTCCTCCTGTCTTAACTCGAACCAAAAAACACCTACAACTGTTACTTGTTTAGTTTCTCTTTGTTCTGTTGAAACTACCCGACTTGTACAGTAATGAGAAGCATGAACAACTGGCTTTTTCCCCCCAATCAGATAAAGTAGGCTATTTGTGTTCAATAAAATAAAAAAAAATGGAAGAAATTGTGGCATGAGTCAACCACCAAAACCAAAGCCATATATTTTAAATATGGTCAAATGACTAAAAGATGTATACTAAATTTATTACTATTATTATTAGTAGTATTAATTAGTTAATTAACTTTTTTATTTTTTGGACAGCTACCAAGTATCATAGTAATCATTTACTACCATAATATAGAAGTTTTCAAACTTGGACCAGCAAAAAGGAACATTAATAGAAATACATATATTTAAATATAATTTCTATAAAATGTGATGAAATATACAATATAAAATTCCTTGCAACAACAACTTTCAAGAATAGTGCCTTTGTTGTCTTTTTTTAGAGGATTTTTTGGTTTGGAAGAATTGAGTAAAGATCTATACGAATAAATGTTGCATTAATATTAAAATAAAAATTATTTCCCTTCAGATTTAACTGATCTAACTGAAAATTATCAACTTAATGCGCACTAAATATTTTCCAAAATATATATACACCATGGTTTTACCATCAGTGTATCACGGAACCATCACAGTGCTTTTTTATAAGGATCCTCTTGTGGAAAAGATAGTTTTGTCTATAGTGAAATATCGGAAAACTCCGCTATAATAACTGATTTGGTTATTTATGGGTAGGACTACATGCTTGATGCTGAATGACGTTGCTCTACGAGTCCTGAGAGCGGAAGGGGGTGTTTTCTGAGAGAACCATTTCCTGCACCAGTGTGGTGCACCACAGGAACTCAGCCTCACTGCAGATACAGGAAGCTCAGGGCCTCTTGGGCAAACTCAGCCCCGCCCCTTCTCTGCTCCACGATCACATGATCCTCAGCGGAAGGTGATGTTTGCGGCAGGACGTGCAAATAGTCATGTGGCAGACAAGTATTGAGCACTGTTGTGAGTTTCTAACGTGAAAATAAATACCAGGAAACGTTTCGGAAACATTTCATCCATGTCAACTACACTGTAAAAAACTTGATTGTAATTATAACGGTAAACGACTAAAAATGCCATGTTAAAAACCTGTTAATTGGTTAATGGTCATTTCTTACTATATAAGGTGAAAAACTAATAAATCTAACGGCACTTTATGTAACGTTACAGTAAAATACAGACATTCCCAAAATTCTATTTCAAATGGTGTGATTTAAAAAAAAAAAAAAAATCTAAAATCATGAAGTTATGCAGATTATTTTAAGTGTCATTTGTTACAGTTTTTTTTCCCCTCCCATTTTCATTTGTTAATTTTAGTAATTTTTCTGTGTTTATAATTTAATTATTAATTTTGTTTGTTATTTTTTTAATGTCTACGGTTTTCATGGAGTTCAATAATTTATATAATTAATAAACAGTTTTAAATAAGTCTTAAGATTTTATTTTATTATTAGTTAACATTTATTTCATATGGTTTTACTCACATTTTTGTTGACTATTATAACCTTGTTTGTGATGAAGTTAGAATGTTTACTAACATTGCTTTTTTTATTTTTATGGTGGTTGTAAGTATATTGTAAGTGTACAAAACACATTTTAGGTATACTATTGTAAACTTTGGTACGCCAGCATTATATTAGTTAATGAAATGTTTTACTGTAAACTTAAGTTCAGTTCGTAAAACCTAAAATGTTTCTACCATATTTTTTACGGTAAAATTCTGGCAACCACAGCTGCTGGTTTTTACCAACAACAACAACAAAAAAAATCATCAGGTTTTTGTAGTTCTTCTCCAAGAAAACCATTATCTTACCTTCAAGCACAACATCTTTCAGTTTCTCCACCGCTTTGGCAAACCGCTCCACTATGCGCAACAACGACGGGATGTCTTCCACCTCGATAGCCACTGTAGTCTCGGGTGTCTCCGGCGAGGGACTCTGCGCGATGACGGATTTTCCTGCACCCTTACTGAAGACCCAAGACTGTATCGGGAAGCCTGCGGCGCTTTGATTACGACTCAGGGAAGTCGGCCGCTTTAGGGTGCCCATTGGGGACGGACTGCCAACCAGCTTAGTGTGCTGGGCCAAAGGGGTACCTGGACAGGAAGACGGGACTTCTAGGACAGGGGGAGACAGACTGGAGGAAGTATGGGACGAAGAGGTGACGGCATCGACTGCATCTTTCCGAGGCTGTTCTTGAAGAGCAGAGAGCTGTTTGATAAAGAGGAAAACAAGGATATAGTGTGGGCAAACTGATAAACATGACAAGTTTTAAGGTAGAAAGTTTTGTGGCTGGAGCACAAGATGTGTGCCCGACTACAACAGACGGCTGTTAGTAAACAGAACTTCTTTCACAAGAGCAATTGTGTAATCCTGGCCTACTTCCTGTCACACCCTGAAGAGCTGATGCCACACTAACTGGCCTCGCTGAGGCCTAAAAACACTCCCACGCGAGCAAACATGAATATAAAGCAAAGTTACCGAAAATCCCATCAATGACGACTCATTTCTGCCTCATTTTAGTCAACAAACAACTGAACAAATGGTGAAATATGATACGCAAACCTGTAAGTGTTAACAAAGTGATATCTCAAAAATCCAGGTCACTTTTAAAGAAGATTCATTTAAAAAGAAGAATTTTTTTTCCCTCTCTCTCTCTCATATATACACACACACACACATATACATATATACATACACATACATATACTACATATACATACATACATACATACATACACACACACACACTTTTTCCCTATATATTATTTACATATAATTAATTTAAATAAATTATGAAAACTAAATTGACAACTCTTCATAATACTTGGAATATTACAACAAGACATTTTAAAAAGTTTAAATATATACATTTAACGTTTTGCAGTTCACGTTGATCTAATTAATTTTTTAGAAGAACATATTTCGTGCAGACTTTCAATATGAGGTCCTAAGATAACCTGTATAATAGTTTTACAACTGATTACACCACTTGACAAAAACGGTAAATGCTTATCAGTACGCATATATCATACACAAATGCATATTTTAAACAGTAAGATACAGATATTTACTAGGCTACTTAAAATAGGTCTATTGACAACAACAACAACAACAACAAAAAAGTACTTTTTAAATACAACCCACCTGTTTGAGCCAGACGTTGGGTCTATTTGGTAAGATGTCCAATTTAGTTTTGCCGTTTGATTTTTTCACTCTCTGACTAGTCGCGTAAGGACTGTAGCTTTTGCTACTTGATCCACCACGCTTCAACATTTCCAGCTACTGAGCTACCTGTACTTTACTGAAGCAACTTTGGACACTGTTAGCCATCATATCTCATCCTTTCAATTTAATACATGCAGCTGAACCTTAAAAAGCGCCTGAAAGTAAATCAATTAAGTCCCGAAACCAGGAGAAAAATATTCAAAGTAGTCGAAGGCAAAACATGAACTTGCCCTTTGCTACGCCATATCACACTGAGGAAGTTTAGTCCGTCCTTTTCTTAATATTATTGTTTTTTCTACATAACGGTCTTTAAAAAAATCATCTTGAATTCTACTCTGTGTTTGAAGACACTGATAACGTTCGTACATTTTTCAGCAACGTCGAAAACATGAGCGCGAGAGTGAAATGTCACTCAAGTTGATTGGCAGGAGGGAAAGGCGAGAGATGCTGAGAGACTTACTGATGGAGAGTTGAGAGGCGATGGACTGCTTCCTGTTCGGCTCTTCTTTGACATCGAGTGCGTCTTTATCAGTTCCCTTGTCCTTTTAGAGAACATTTTAAGCTTTAGGGGTTTCTTTCCGACGCGTATTTCTTTTAATTTACGATATAACCCCCCAGCCCACCCCCCGGCTCCCCATTTCAAAGCGCTGATGCGAGGTTTCCACACTCCGAGCTCGAGCTTGTGTCTCACACCTCTAATATGATCGCACATAGACTGAATCTACTGACACTCATCAGATCAGTCTGAGGCGCATCCGCTTTCTCTCTCTCGCTGTGACAAGTGAAACTGCGCTGCCATGTAGAAACATGAGGGCTGGATAACATCATGCATTGTCGCTGAGACTTTTAAAACGGCGTTTATGCATTGAGTTACATCATTTTAGGACAAAAATAAGCTTTGGCCCCGGCCCCACACGTTGTTGTTAATGTCTGTCACCTGCTGTTTAATTAAATATTAAAACACCGCCCACTTTCGTGACAAAACATGTCTTGAAATCTTTTTGTTTGACGAAACATCATTTTAACTACACCTTTATTTTATTTACAGAATGAAATAGGCCTATCTGTGCTAAAGCAATATTGTATCGGTCTTGAAATAAATGAGCATAGCAGTCTTATGCAAAAAAAAATACAAGAAAACCAATCGCAAAATGCAATGACATCTTCACCATTGGTTAGATTTGGAATTGTGACAGTTTCAACTTTTCGATTTTTTAACTGTAAAACACACACACACACACACACACAAATAAAGGTGTTTAAAAGGTTCTTCACAGCGATGGCATAGAAGAACCATTTTTGGTTCCACAAAGAAGCATTCAGTCAAAGGTTCTTTAAAGAACCATCTCTTTCTTACCTTTTTATAATCTGAAGAACCTTCTTTCACCACAAAGAACCTTTTGTGAAACAGAAAGGTTATTCAGATGTTAAAGCTTCTTTATTGAACCATTTAAACAAAAAAGGTTGTTCTATGGCATCGTGAAGCAACTTTATTTTCAAGAGTATATATAGGAAATTTCCTAGGAGTGCGTCTCAGTCTGCTCCCTTGCACCCTAGGTAGTGAGTCTGTATATCATGTACACAAATTCAGGCACTGGTAAGGCCAGCAATCAATATGCAAATAAATACAAGAAAACAGACCAATGGCAAAAATGCAATGACATAATCAACATTTGTGATTTGGAATGGCGACAATTCTAACAATGTCAAATTTTTAACTTGACATGTCTGTATTTAGGAAATTCCAGAGGAGTGTGTCTCAGTCTGCTCTCTAGCATCCTAGGTAGTGACTCAGTATATCATGTACACAAATTTGGGCACTAGTAAGCCTCCTGTGTGATTTATGTTTTGCACTTCAGAAAATTTGACATTTTCCAGTAAGGGAACATAGCGAGCATAGAATCTTCCCGGGTTTGGGGATTTTTAAAAAATTTTTTTTTTAGGGAAAGAACATTCCAGTTCACTAAAAAAGGACTTTGTTTGAGACCGCACTTAAAATGACTGACTTCCTGATCAATGCTTTGAGAGAAAGGGGAATGTTAAAAGGGTCATATGATGCTGCTAAAAAGAACATTATTTTGTGTATTTGGTGTAATGAAATGTGTTTATGCGGTTTAAGGTTCAAAAAACACATTATTTTCCACATACTATACATTATTGTTTCTCCTCTATGCCCCGCCTTTCTGAAACGCATCGATTTTTACAAAGCTCATCGGTCTGAAAAAGCGAGGTGTGCTCTGATTGGCCAGCTATCCAGCGCGTTGTGATTGGCCGATTACATCAACTGTGTGAAAAACTATATATATAAAAAAAGTTATTGTTGTTGCAATTCCATTTGCTTCCACTAAGCCCTTCACTTTTTAAGCAGTCTGAACTGAATTAACGACAGAAAATTGTGGAGAAGATTTCGTAGTAAGATGAATTTCAGCACACTCTTTAACATTAATAATCATGTGAGCTTATATATATATATATATATATATATATATATATATATATATACATAGATAGAGTTACTGAAGAAAAGAAATCATACAT